TGAATACATAAACTAGTGATGAACTAGAAAAATTTACAATGTGACAATATGGTTTGTACTATTTCATACTTTACATCCATTGAACTGTCCAGAAAGTGTGTAAATGTTTGTTGATATTACAAATAAAGCTTGTAACTGTTTTTATTTTATAAAACTCTTTATTTTCATGAATCCCATGTGTAAGATCTGAATGTAAATTAAGAAACTGAAATCCATCCATCCATTTTTTTAACTGCTCATTCAGTTCAGGGTGTCAGGGACTGGAGCCGGTCCCAGCTGTCATTAGGCGAGAGCAGATACTCTGGACAATCACACTCGCATTCACACCTACGGCCAATTTAGAATCACCAGCTAACGAGCATGTCTTTGGACTGCGGTAGGGAAGCCAGAGTGAACCTCGGGAGCACAGGGAAAACAATCAAATTCCAAATATAAAAGCCCCAGGACTCGAGGCTTAATTCAAGAATTTTAGTTATATGAATCAGCATTAGACACTTGCAATTAATTTTGCATTTGGCTTCAGTCTAATATGCAAACTGCAGCTATTCTTGCCCAAACTTGAACAATATTGATGAGCTACAGAGTGCTGTTTAGATCCACAAGTGAAAGCCTTGTTCCCACTAAATCTGTTTCAAGCTTGACTCTGAAAAGCCATGCACTTAAAGATAGTGCTGGTAGTTACTGCTTTATCATGACAGTGTGAAATGCCACACAGTTAATTGTTTGCCACTGTGTGCCGTAGCTGCCAAGCTGGTTCCTGCAGGCAGCAGACAAATGAGAGGGCCTTGATGGCCAGCAAGATAAAGGCAGTGCCAGTAAAACACTGCCTTCTTTGACTTGCATTTGCAACAAGCAAATCCATTGCTAATCTTCAACTTTGATTTATCTGGCTTATGCAAGCCTTCTTTACATATTGATGACTGACACCACGTTCAGTCGTTATCTTTTGCACTTTCGCACTGCGTCGCACCGCATTGTTTTCAGTTTAGTCACTATTCTGTCTCATACGTATGCACCATAAGGCAATAATTGCATGTTGTACGCTGAAAGACAAAACATGGCCTTTTCTTAAAGCATAATTGTCAATAGGTTGTGATCAGAACTGATGGAATGCATGAAAGATAAACAGAACACTCCTTATTGGTGAAAAAACATATCTGAGTAGAGGCGTTGCAAGGATGGGTGAATGAATTAATGTAAAGTGGTACAAACAGAATCTTCCTGATTGGACTGAAATAATAGCTAGTGATTGTCCGATTGTTGTATTACATGAAGTAATGTAATTCAAACTGAAGTGTTTATTCATCAAATCCCATTGTTTGTTTTCAGAGCTATTATCAACAAATCACACTCTATAGTTTCTCTGGAGCTGATCTTGTTACGATCCATACATACATTTGAAATGTATACCAAATCAAACCTGGTTGTATTTAAGGCTCGATGTATACAAAGTTAGATTGTACATGATCCTTAAATAGTAACAGAAAAAGTGAAAATGTCAACTATGGTTAAAAGCAGCTTTGTGTCGTAGCATCCGTTGTGAACTTCCTAAAACTTACTTCTAACAAATTAGACACATATAATTAAAGAAGAAAGAAATGATAATGAAATTAATCTGTGCTGTTTATGTGACAAGAAAATTTCAAAATTAACTAACAAAACTAATGCTTTGGATACTCATGGCGAAAGTCCAACTGTCAAGCAAACACCAAGGCAGATATTGAATTGTGTATTATGTAACCATTACTGCATTTGCTCGTGATACCATACCAGCAAGTGGTTTAAGGCAAACTAAGGCTCATTGCACATGAACGCTGATATACTGTATTACAAAGAGATGAATTGAGAAATTAATGAATGCAATGACCAGAAGCACAGGCGTACATCAACAGCTCACATTTAGCCTTAGTTTGACTTTGTAATAATATTAAGCATATTATATCACTGCTGTGAGCTGTGATAAGACAAGACTTTGATGTGAGTCGCTGAAGATGATTGAGCAGTTATGCAAATGTTAGACTCACGTAACCTCTGCAAACATGAGCGTGATTTTCCTAACAGACCACTGCCCAGTGATCACAAATCGTAGCTTTACATACTTCTGATACTGTGACACGAATAGTGCTGCATGTGACCGAAATGGCTCCCAGAAGCAAGCTGCACTTATGACAAGACAGCATATCTGACGAATTCAAGAGAGCACCGTTAAACCAGCGTGACATGTATTTACAGGACTTGATTCTAAGTCATCGAGTGCTGGTAACGAAAGCATTCATGCAAACATGCGCCCAAACTGGTTGTAACAGATCTGGGAAGGAAGAAAAAACACATTTGCACCTGAGGAGATATTTAATCCATGTGCCTCACTTTAGCACTTTGAATTCTTGTGTGAGTTTTTTGTTTGTTTTTTGTTTTTTTTACAGACATGCTATTATAATAAGAACAGTCCAGACAATTGTCTAGGAAGATGACAAACTCTAATTATCTAGTGGCCTCCTTGTTCTGATTTATTAGACAATGGCTGCCTTTGTTTGGCCAAAAAGCATATGCAATACCTCCCCACGAATACCTTTATCTCTCATAGTTACAAAATGATTTTCTGATTTGAATAAACCAAGCAAAGGGTATTTTATCATTTAAAAGGGAGAGCATTAATTCAATCAGATAGATGCAAGAGGAAGAACAGGAAAGTGATAAAAGATAGCCTAAGCATGGGCATGAAGACAGCAAGATGTGATTTTATGTCTGCATCCCATGCCAATAAGTGGGGCTATTGTGTTCTCTCAGTGGATACACTGGCTCAGCTTATCTGGGCCCCTTATCACTTTTGTCTCATACTCAAATGGACCTGTGAGGCGTCCAACCCAACACTGAGTTGGACAGATTAGTGCTCTGTTACGGATGCAGCTTTGCTTTTTGGGGTTATGGAGAGGTCAATCTAGCATTTTATTACCCAAAAATGACACACTAGATCATAGTCTTGTGATAGGGAAGGAAAGTAGCATTGAAAGTACTTGTGAAGAATGAAGAAATTAAGTATTTTGGTTTTTCTTCTGCATTTGCATTAAACAAAAAATTATTCTGAAATGACCTTTGTTCATATTTTTTTGCTGTAACCAAAAACATAAGTAGTCATGAAAATGCACAAATTATTTGTTTCCAGTATGTTACGGAGCCAGTTTCCTTTGAAGATTTTGGAGTTCCCATCAATGTTGATTTCCTTGTTTGCATTTGACAATTAAAGCTGTAATTTCCTTGTTTCAACAAAAAAAAAAAGGAAAAAAAAGGGATTTGCCTCACTGCAAGCTCTTTCCTGGTTCAAAATGTGTTGCATGCATGCTCTCTCTGTGCCTGTGTGGGTCTTCTCTTCCTCCCACAATCTAAAGGCATGTGCATGTCAGGTTGTGATACACTGACCTCTCCAGCGTGCAGACCCTGAATTGGGATTCAGTCAAGGAATGACTGAAGACACACGGACTAAATACACACAGGAGGATAATGAGGGAAACGGAAACACATGGGGAAACAGCTGACACACATGAACATAACAACATCACAAGGGGAGAGTAAAACTAAAAACATTGAACACAGGAACACAGGACCCCTTCAAAATAAAACAGGAAACATAATGAGACGCAGACATGACAACCTGAACTTGACAATGTAAGACACAGACATGAAACACATGAAGGGCAAGGGAGACTTAACAGGGGTTGGAAGACACAAGGGGAATCTAATAACAAATGAAATAGAAAAACTAAAGAGCTTAACCATATACTATAAACATCAAAATAAACTAAAACTCAAAACACTGGGTCATAAGACCCAGGATTGTGACATACAGTCCTTCAAGTACCTCTGTGTCCACATCCCCTCAGATCTGACATGGCCTGCCCACATTCAGGTCCAGTACAAAAAGGCTAGGCAGCGCCTGTACCACCTACGACAACTGAGGAAGTTCAGGGTCTCTCCAGAGATCCTCAGGACTTTCTATACAGGCGCTGTGGAGAGCATCCTCACACAGAACATCATGTCCTGGTATGCGAACAGCTGTGTCATGGACAAAAACAAACATTCCCATATCATGCCTGATCCTTCTGACTTCTTTGCGGCACAACTTTAACACCACACTCACACAATGTACATGCCCAAATTTTAAAATTGTACATTTCCAGATAGTTTTATTCTATTTATCTTGTATGCAATTCACTCACTTATTGCACACAATATCCTCTTTGTATATATCTACTTACTTTACTTACTTTCGTGGAGCATATCAGGTTTCACTGTGTGTTATACTTGTATAACTATGTGCATGACAAAAAAAGGGATCTCGAATCTTGAATAAGCAGAATAAAAATAGATAAAGAAACATTTTGAATTATATGTCCTTATGTATCTTTGAATGTATGTTGGTAATATGTGTGCAATTTACAATGCATTCATTACAAACATTCTTGTCTAAAAGTATCTGAGTTACAGAGAGAAATACATAACCAACAGCACACTCTTCCATAATGACAACACTTGTTTTTATAGAGAAATTAATAAATGGTTTTGTTGTAGTAACGGGAAAGAATTTGTTCTTCTCAAAGTCTGGCTCTGACTACATATCTCTCCTCTTCGATTTAGTACGAACAACAACAGCAGTTCAGCACGAGCATCGACCCTTTTCATCCTTTAACAAAGTACCTTCACAGCAGAGGGCAGTAGTTCACTGAGTCTATTTAAAAGCAACAGAACTACATTGTAAAGGCACTTGAAGGACCAATATAGGTAAGACTCTTGTTGCCTGATCGTTAATGTCTACACGAGCTTATAATACATTTATCACCGGGGTAAACGTTTTTTTTTTTCCATTAGTCCAGTATTTGCGTTTAAATATTTTTCCGTGCTTCATGTTTTTATTTTAAAAATACGGATTTTACGGCAGAAAACGGCTCTGTCCTTCTTCACCCCACCCCCTCCTTTTTTGTCGTCAGGCATCTGTATGGACACGTCTCGCCGACGGAGGACGATAACATGGCGGCCTCCTTGCGTTTGGGTCGTCAGGGAATGTTATTTGGCCTCAGACTGAATAATTTTAATAAATGTTTAAGGTCGACACACCAATGGCAAGACCAAGTCAGACACTTCTTTCAGTCACCATGGGCACTCGGTAAGTGTTGACAGTTACCAGGTAAATGGCTGTTGCCCTTTCTGTGCTGACAATCGCTGGCATTTGCAACCGTCACTACCCTTTAGTGGTGCAACGTTACTTTGCTCTCGTTTTGTCAGGGCATGACAAATAGCAGCGTTGTTGGTAAGTGAGAGTGTTGGCATGAGTGTTAAGCGAAAAATGTAATGGTTATTTTCTGCAGTTAACTGTATGGAAAGCTGCTAATGCCGCTTTCTAAATCACTTGGATTATCTTGCATGTCTCCAACCAGTCTTGTTTCTCTCCCTGTAAGCCAACTTGCGCCATCAAAGCTGTCACATTTGTAGCAGTATCATTAAATGTTTTAAAAAAAGAGTATTAGCTCCAAAAAGTGCTAACTGTGAAGCGGCAAGGAGGAGAAAGAGTGATGGTAGATGAGTTTAAACACGTAGGGTCAAACAACAAAAGCAATGAACAGTGTATAAGAGAGGTGAAGAGAGTGTAGGCAGGGTGGAGTTGAGTGTCAGACGTGATAGTAGAAAGAGTAAAAGGGAAGGTTTACATGATGGCAGCCAGACCTGCTGTGATTTAAGGTCTGGAGACAGGACTAAAAGACAGGAAGCAGATTTGGAGATGCTAAGATTTCCATTGGGAGTGCAAAGAATGGACAAGATTGACACTCAGTATATCAGAGCCCAGATTGAGCGCTTTAAGTTAAAGAGGCGAGACTGAGAGGGTTTGGATATGTTCGGCAAAAGGTATTGAATATGGAGCTGCTTGGCAGGAGGAAAAAAGGAAAGACCACAGAGGATGTAGTGAAGGAGAAGATGCAGATGGTTGGTGTGACAAAAGAGGACGTTGGGGATAGGGTGCTACGGAGGCACATCTGTTGCTGTGACTCTTAAAGTGTTCCAAAAAAGTTCCAAGAGTGTAAATGCGGTGTATCAGAACTTTATTTAAAGGGATCTTATTGAGAAACCTTAAACTAGCTCCTCCAGGATGATGGTGCTTTCGGGCACTGGCATATCATGGGCACTGTTGTGCCCATGATATGCCCATATGCCCATGATTCCTGCACTTAATTGTTTTTTTTCCCCATTGTGACATGTAAACATGTCAGTAATGAAAATAAAACGTTCAGTCCCAAATCCAGTGTGAGTATATGAATTTGAAAAGTTACACAGATGTCATTCTTTGTCAATGAATCTCATTCAGAAATAAAACTGCCCAGTAAATGTTTTGGGACTTTAAGCATGAAGAAGATAAAATGTAAACAGACAGATTTTCTGTTTTTGAGTACTGAAACAACACGTATGCCATATAAATACACAACTCTTCCTTACACATCTCTGAAGGTTGATTCTGTTAATCTGGACGTCCAGATGAACATAATCAACCTTTGGAGATTTACTTACCTGGATGATTGAGCGTGCATCAAGATCTTCCTTACACACTGAAGTTTTGCACCACTGCTGAACATACAGCAGGTGGCAGCAGCACACAGTTTGGCCAGAGACCATGCAACATGAAACAAAGGCCATGTTACAATAAATAAAAACTAACACACCAAGAATTTGAATAATTGAATCCCCAAATTATTTAAAATTTTCATTTCTCTTTTAAATTAAATGTATATAGATTTATAGTTATATAACTGACTAACACGGCTGCCTGACTTTTATTATGTAAGATTAATTTAAAGTGTGGAGTCAAATGGAAAGGGCTTTTTTTTTCTTAGTTTTTGTTTTTGTTTTACCTGTTTGGGTTAATCTTGTTTACTGCTAACAGAAACTTTTTTTTAATATATGTATCATGCATTAAAAAATTATATTATAAATGACTGTGATATGTGTGTTGTTCAGTGACCATAAAGAATGTGTAAAACAAAGGGCTATTCATTTTACGCTGTACCGTGTTTGAGCTCTAAACCTTATTTTTGTTGCTTTCAGCTTTACTACCATATGTAGTAAAGCCATTATCTTGAATTTATGTTTTCTTCTGGCAGCCTGAAGCTCTAGTGTGAACTCTGGCCTTCTGTGTGACTACAGATGGTGACAGTTGGGGACCACAATGATACAAATGCCTTTGCATCTTCTGGTGCAGTGTCATCCAGGAGCACAGTTGTATAAGTGACATGGCAACATTTTCATGGTACCGCTGTCTCTTGTGCTCTGCTGCAAGTTGAACATACGGACCCCCAAGGGCTTTATTCGAACTATTCAGTGCTACTTCTGAGTATGTTACTTGATGCAGTTTGACATTCAAATATTTTAGATGAAATTGCACAACCTTACTGGAAGGGCTATTTTTTTCCTATTCTGAAAGAAAAGGGGGATTTTTGTTTTAAATTTAAACCTAATGAAACCCTTGACATTATGTGCCGTCGTAAATCATATGGTATTTTCTTTCTCTCCTCTAGGCGTCAGTCCACTCAAAGTGCAGATGCCCGCACTCTCTCCTACCATGGAGGAGGGAAACATAGTCAAATGGCTGAAGAAGGAAGGTAAAGAAAGCACGTTGACAGAAGACTTTATTAGAAAATTTAACAGACACTCATCACACATTTGTACTGAGATTCTTTGACAGATTTTAAACCTCTTTGCGTTTTAATATGTTATCCAAAGGGACAGATGCTTCACTTTTCTTGTACTTGTAATATCCTCCCCTGTAGTGCTCAGTTGGTTTCCAAATATATTCAGTTCTTAAAGTAACAGAGAGAGGCCTGAGAAATAGGTCACCTGAGGGCCTCTGGTGGCTAATTGGCTCAAGGACCATGGCAGTCATTATCAGTCACTGTTTAGCAACTCTGCATAGCCAGGATCCTTAGCTGCACACTCATTTATCAAGAGGCCAGATGCTGAATTCTGATTGGCTTCTCTGCTGTGTTGCTATGTGCTGTGACTTGAGGTTAGATTAGAGTTTGTTTGTGTGTGAGTGAGTAAGAAAGGTGGGGAAAAAACAGATGAATTATTTGAGAAAAATATATCTACACTACTACTTTCTTGCTTTTTAAAAA